TCATTAACTATAAATAATTATACTTACAGTCTGTGTTCGTAGTTCCTTACTTAAAAATAGCATAATTATGTCTTACCGATTAGTGTTACCTTTTTCATTTTATTTTATTTATGATACATGTCTGTATCTAAATAATAAGACTTCCACAAACACATAGCATAATAGTAAGTAATTAAACGTAAAATGTGCATATTATAAATTAATATAAATTACAGTTGAAAACCAGATCTACTTGACAAACATTTTTTTTAGCCAAAATTTTATGAAATGACAATTGCTTTTGTTGAAAATTACTCTTTTATGAAATACATATATGTGTGTAAAAAAGTATCGCTAATAGTAATTTCATATTCATAAATCAGTTGGTAATATAATATTTGATTTTAACATTATATAAAATGTTTATAAATCCTTTAAAAAATTATGTTTTGTGTTACTACGTGATGTTGATTTAATCTTACAATACACATTATTTGTGTAATAATATTAATGATGTAATTTGTCAAAGAAGTTTATTTAATATGTATGTTCTCATATTGAGAATATTATAATTCTTTGTTTTATAATCTTAAAGTATTCATAATAAATTTTGCATACATAAGTACGCTATTTTATTATTTATTTTATTCTTAAATAACAAATGCGTGTGGAATTAACCTATTGTAAGAAATATTTGATAAGATTATATTTTATAATTCTGTGAACTATTTAAATATAGTTTATATATTCACACATTTATCACTGTAATATATAAGAATAAAATGCAAGAAAATGTCTATATAAATACCATACTTGAAAGCAACATATAACAAGAATAATTTTCTTCTTATCGAAAAATTAAGAGTTTTATTAGAGATGCCCGAAAAGTTATTTAGTTTTTTAAATGTTTTAAGTTGACCTGCCTTAAAACTATGAAATAAACTAATTTTTTATATACAATTGTATTGCTATGGTAAAAAGAATAAATACAATATATAACAGAATCTCATAATTATTGTGAAATAGATTAATAAATAATTATTACCTACATAATTTAATAAATAGTTTTGTAGAATTATTATTTAGTTTGTTTGATTTGATTAGTCTTTTTAGATTTGGCTTCAATTCTTTCTTCTAGCTTATGAATCAAGTCATTTAATTCTTCCTGTTTAAAATATAAAAATGTATTTTAAATAAACATATTATTTATGAAATAATATTTAGTTAAAAAAAGAAACATTTACCTCGTTATATGTATACATTAGAGTACAATGTTTTAAAACTTGCTTTTTCTTATTAAATAATTGTAATGCATGTGACAAACAATAAACACTATCATCTTGTGAGTTACTGACTAATGAAACAAATAAATTAGCTCTGCAGGTTTCACATTCAAAGTCACCGTCATCTTCTTTTACTTTTTTTCCTTTCTTTCGTTTTCCACTATCTGGTAAAGGTAATCTTTCTGTGTTTGTAAGTCCCACTGATTCTAATTTTTTACGGTAACTTATTTCTTTTTCACGAATTTTAATTACACTTGGTAGAATCTATATGTAAAATAATTAATAAATTAAACTATTTTGTACACAATTATGGTAAAAAATATAGAAATTCTATTAGTATTTATTTACTTTAAATACTTGTTCTGCAGTTTCTAACCAGGGTGGTTGTGCAAAGTACACGCTTTCAGATACTACGTATCCAGTACATATGCTCGACGTAAATGCTTTAGGGAACACGATTATATATTGTCCTGGTTCCTGTACTGTTTGACATAATGATACTCCATTATTAACTAACAATTCAGGAGGAACCATTGCTGTATCTGATGGCAGCCATATAGTCTTATTTTTACAATATCGTGGAACCATTTTTGAAAGAGCCTCTCTAAAGTTATTGTTATGTTCATCTGGTATACCATACCAAATTTTTTTAGCACCAGTATGTAAATATTCTATCCAAGGAAGACCATGAGGATCGCGATACCAACAACAAGCACTAAATAGCATACCCACGTGAAGTGTTGGTACTGTTACACCTATAAATGAAATTAAAGCGTTCGTGAAAAAGAGAATGAACTCATAACTACAGTACATGTGTTAGTTTTAGAAGTTGAAAGAAATGTTTTCGTACCCATAATGGGACCTAAAGCTCTTAACACTGATCCAGCATTATTAGTAAGTACTTTCAGATTCCATGGATGTCTTGCAAATGGACTATTCTTAGCAACAGAAAATCCGAAACCTCGTCCACTAGAATCAATACTTGCAGCGTGTACACAAACATGTCGTTTTCTTTCTGCAACATGTTTCCAAAATGCATTTTCAACTTCATCAGCAGAAGCACCTTCAGTTTCGTTTCCAGAACGTTGATTTTCACCAAACCACATACGTTGTGTATTTCGTGCAATACGATAAAAAGCATTCAATGGCATATTTCTACCCTGTAAAATTATATATTTTTCATAAATTAGCAAAAATTAAAAATTATGTGATTACCATAATTTTAAAATATTTACTTTTACAATGCACTCTTCAATTTCATCAGAGCTATCATCATCTTCATCTTCTTCATTTTCACTTATTGGTGCATTTTGCCTTTGTAGAACTCTACTTTCCCTTTTCATCCATTCGGATTCCACTTCATCAAATAATTTGCCGCGTTCCTCTACGTATATAATTTCATTAGTAAATAATTTAAAATAGTTATATGTTTTTTTAAGCTAATACATATTGCTAATATTTGTGTAAAAATACCCGGAGATAATGTGTCATATGGTAATAAGTATTTGCAATAGATGTCGTCTAATTTAGTTACACGATCTTGGGCAGATTTTGGTATTTTCATGCCATCAGCTACTTTTTGCCATTTCTTTTTTTCAATAACTTCTTTTAGCCCACCTAAACTTTGAACAGTTTGATACAAATGAGGCAAGTCAACTTCCATACCTCCAATCTGTTAAGGAATACGAAGTAGCGATTATATTATAAAAGAAGACAAGATAACAATAAATTGTAAGTATAAAATTTTACCCAAGGTGGATGAGTTAATGTTATGCTTTGTGTAGCTAAATACTTTTTTATAGCCATCATTTCCTTCACATTGGGACCCCATCTATGAAGCATACGATGTACATACTGATTATAAGCGGTAAATCGCATATCATCTGACACTTTACATTCAGGCTAAAAAGAAAGAAAACAAAATAAAATGTTACACTTCATTTATAAATGTGTGCATTTAAATATAAGGCAATAAATTTTATTGTAATATCTTAATAAAATTTACTTTAAAATTAGGTGGTGGTACAACTCTGCATATCCCAAATTTCTCTGCAATTGGTCTTATTTTGTCTATGTATTCTAAAGGATCTTGAAAATCTTTTTCACTAGGATGAAAAGTTGGAGCCTCTACTAAACGTGCCTCATTGTTTTCATTTTTTGCACTTGGAAATGTTACATTATTAGTGGGAGAATAAATTTCAGACCCTTTCTGTTTCGATTTCATTTGACACCTAAAATTTCAAATATATGTGATAATACACTCAATAAAAACAGTATTTAATTCTACAATGTAAAAGAAATTTTACCTTTTGCCATTCTTATTCGAGTCAATCGAGGTTTTTCTTTCTCTAGAGGTTTTTGGAGATTTCGGTAATTTTTCCGTTCCTATATTTAACGCGTTTCCAATATTTTGTCTAGTTACTGCGTGTACTATGTTCTCATTTTTATTTGGAGAAGGTGGTGGAAGTTCAGAATTAGATGCGGTAATGACTGGTATTGCATTTAAAGAAGTAGATGCTACTGGATGATCGGCTGTTACAAGCGTAGAATTTGGTGGAGTACGAGTTGTAGGTTGTACAGTGCCTACAGGAGGGCAACGAGCAATTGACGACGGAGGTTTAGTGACCAATTTTGCTCTTAAAAGAACTTTTTGATTAGGTCCATTTGGCCCTTCAGTACCAAGCTTTACAGCTACACCTTGAATTAATTGTTGTCCTTGAACTAAATTTGGTCCATTCCTTGTGACAGCTTGTAAAGGTATATAAAATAGTTGACCATCATTCTCATCATCATTTTCATTATTGCTCTCAGTTTGAGTGGATATTTCTGTGCTTTTCTGTTGATTTGATTCTCCTTCTCCCGTTTGTTCTTGTAACTGTACATTATCATCAAGATTTACTTGTACAGCTATTGAAGCACTGCAATTTACATTACTCCAAGTTGTTGTCAATTTATCCAGTGGTAGAACTTGCACATTAGCTAAGGTTGCAAAATTTTTTGGCAATTCAAACTTGTTTACATTCAATGTTGTGTTAGACATATTTTTTACTTCTGCTGCTGCAAAATTTTCAATTTTTGAATGAATATTATTGACATTTTCTTTAGATTCTATCACTTCACAATCATCTTTTATCATTTTCTCCACAATTTTATTTGTATCACTTTCAGATTTATTTGCATTATTGTCAAATTTATTTGTATTATTCTCAGACTTATTTGCATTATTTTCAATTCTATTTGTATCTGTTTCAGATAAATTAACAGCCGCGTTTGATTTGTTAGCTTCACGAACTTTACGTCTGAAAGGAGTACTAACAGGGACTTCAGTATCACTCTCAAATGCATAAACACTACTTTCATTTTCTGGAGAGAATGCATTTGCATTAGGAGTTACTGTTTTACGTTCTTTAACTTTTGGTAAAAATGGTTTTCTTGGTTGAAATATAGTCTTCTTTTCTGCAGGTAATTTTTTTTCAACAAACCCATCTATTGAATTTTGATCAGATTTTAATACAGCCTCACTTTCTTCTCCAGGACATGAGTCTTTGCTTGATTTTATATTTCGCCCTTTACTAATATCTTTTAAATCTATGTTATGTTTACTGATATTAGTAAACTCATTTTGCTGTTTTATATCAGATTGCAGATCTCCTATTATGATCGGAGTATATTTGTGTGAATTCATGCGATCTTTTATACTAGCTTTCTCTGTTAATTTAGAAAGTGTAACATTTACTGGCCTTACCAAGTGTTGAATTTTTGTTGATATTGATAAATGTGATACATCAGTCTTTTTTTCACAAACATCATATTTAAAAGTGGATACATTTTCCATTTCTAATTTGCTTTCTTCTTTAGCAAGTGAACTTTCATTTAACCATTTTTCAATTTGTTCAGTTGACATATTTACTTTTTCTTTCCTCACATGCAATGTGGATAAAGACATATCTATAATATTTGTGGAGATAATCCCTGTTTTATGAAGACATTCTTTTTCAATATTTTCTACTAATATTTGACGTTCTGCTTCATCAGGTAATTCAGATTTTTCCTTTTGAACCTTTTGAATACACTGATTATCTGGTATATTAATTGTTGGAGAAGGAGCTGTACTCAATAAAAGTTCATTACTCAATAATTCTTTATCTTCCTGTTTATTGAATGCATTTGAATTCTGTTCATCTTCTATTTTAGCTGTTTCTAATTTATCAGTGGATTTTTCTGTGGCAAAAAGATTAACATTAACATGTGTTTGACAAGAATTTAGTACTTTAGATATTGCTTTCTTTGTAAATCCTCGAAAAGATTCTTCATCATCTGATATTTTTGAAAGATCCGTTTTTGCTGAATTTTCATTTAAAGGTTGTTCAACTTTATCTACAATATCATGATTGTTACTTTTAGGAGAAATCTCTTCTTGCACACTATCATCTTTCTTTCTTTTCAACTTGTTAAGCAACATTCCTAAAGTTTCTTCATCAGAATCAGTATTTTCTTCTGCAATATTTTTTGTTTCTTTTTGCTTTAATCCATTGCTTTTCTCGGGTAATGATTTATTAAAACTTTGTTCTCGTTTCCGTTTCATTACAAATTTCTCTTTATTAAATCTTAGATTATTTTGGACCTGAGATTTTGATTTGACATTTATATTATTTTGAATTTCCACTCTTGTGACTACATTTTTAGCTGAGGATCTAAGATATCGACTTACAGGTTTATTTAATTTTCCTAAACTTCGTCTCGTAACAGGTCTTGTATTATTAGTTCCATTGGAACTCACTGATTCTTCATCACTGTCAATTTCACAATACTTTTGAACTCTTATTAGTCTTTTACTTTTGAAAGCAATTTTACTAGCTTTAGTTTTATCTAATCGTTTATTTGATGTACTATGGATAGAAGTAATTTTGCCATCTTTATTTTTAGTAGTTGTTTTTGTAACAGATTGTTTGACTTTACTTTTAACTTCATTTTCCGTTTGAGTAATTTTACGTGTATTTGGTAATTCTGGAAAACTGTCCATGGAAACATTATCATCATTCTCTAAATCAGGACTTACAAGTTTACGTCCTAGTATTTCCATATATACTGCTGCTGCTTCTTTAGTTTTTCTTGTTGGCCTCCTACAAAGATTTTTTGGGGAAATTGTACCACTATGAGAACGAGTGATTCTTCTCATTTCAGATTTACTTCTTGTACACATGTTTTTCTGAACATTTTTTTGGATTGTGCGTTTTATTTGTGGTACTGACTTTTCTAAAGGACCTTCTTCTTCTTCCTCAGATGAATCTGAATTTGATGTATCACTGTTCTTTTGTTTTACTACAACTTTTTTCTTTGGTTTAGGTGGTATAGGTTTAACTTTTGTAGGAGCCTTTTTTGTTTTATCTGCAAGCACACTACTTCGTAAACCAAGTCTCTTGGTCTCAATTCTTGGAAGAAATTTTCTAGGTGCTAACTTATTTGCAGATTTTAACAATGTTCGTTCTGTACAAGATCTGGTTCTCATAACACAAGATGTTTTAAACTTATTTTTAATTCTTTGTTTAGCAAGACGCTGCTCTTGATACTTTTTTTTAAGTGCTTGTACAGTAGATGTTGTGCTTTTGAATGTGGTAATGCTTTTTGATATTGCACTTGGAACTTTCTTTTTATCAGTAATAACAGGCTTTACTTTGGTGACAGTTTTCTGATTTGTATCTGGTTTTTGATTTTCAGTAGATGTACTAGTTAAAGATGTTGTCTTATCTATTTGTGTACGTGTTGGCTTAGGATCTGCTTTTTCTTTTTTACTTCCAACATTGAAGAAATTTAAACTTGGAGGTAAAATTGATGTTCCTAAACAAACATTTTAATTAATTAGTAATACATAAAACATAATTACATAAGATTAATATATATGCACAAAACGAAAAATTTAAAAACCTCTAAAGCACAAAAATGTCAAAAAATCTTCTGTATTTGGTCGCTTATGCGTTATTAATTCTGTTATAACTGCTGGTTTAGTTTTTTCTTTATCTTTAATGGGAGTATGTGAAGGGTTGAATACTGTTGTTGCACCTTGTGCAAATTTTCTTTGTGCATGCACTTTGGTCCTATAATAAACATTATAAATATAAAGAAAAT